TCAGGGCCTTGCTCGCAGTTTAGGGATTAGGGTTTAGGGATTAGGGATTAAGGTTTAGGATCTAGTGGTGGAAGAGGGACCTGTCTAATAATACCATTATCCCTTGTGATGATCATTAGTGGCAGGGGGACTAGCTAATCTATACAGAAGATCCTGAACCTTGTTCTCCTGGGATAGCAGCTAGAAAACACAAGTTTTTGTTCTTTCCCGAGGGCAAGGGGTACAGTTTTCACGCTTGCTAGATCCAACAAGTCCTAAGATCTTCAGATCATTTATTGGCATGCGGAACTTTCTTCGCTTCTGCGCTGTCAATTCATTCTCGTGATTTCTAAACAGTTTCTCCACAACGTTTGTAACGCTTCCTTTTGCCCTTCGCTACGACATGTCCCCAGGGCTGCCACATGCTGTCCGTAAAGCTCCTGCCCCTGGCGGATGCGGTCTCCCTTCACACAGTCACTGGGTCTCAAGGGAGCTTGGGGCGGAGCTTGGGGCATGCGCGGTGAGGCGTTTCAGATTTCTGGGTTCCAGCTCGTAGGATACTGCTCCACACAAGAGAGTTTGGACATACATATTGCCGGAAGCTTTTTATCACTGCATACATTAAACGGCTGTTGCAGGCTTGGGCTCTTACTTTCTGCTTGAGAAAGCACCAGCTGCTAGCCTTCAGGGTTTTGGAGCTTGGTTATGTTAACTGAAGTGATTGATCGATTGATTGGGATCTGCGGCTGTTGGAAAGTTTGTTGGGGTTGGTTGTTAGGAAGCAGCAATCGCATTACAACCTTATGAGTCACCTCGCGACTTCATGGATGCTGCTGGGCGGTGCTATATTGGGGCTCTAGAGAAGCCCCCTCTTACAGTTCACATATCATGGCTTAGCAGCTTTCCACCTCACCGACAATATATGGATCATGAAGCCCAGGTCTACCCAGTCTTCACAGCCCTCCTGGCACCCTGTACACTGGGAGAGCCGCTCTCCCCGGCTTCTTATTCGCAGTTGAGGCGAATCATTCAGAGGATTTCTCAGAGAACTCTTGGGCGTTGAGGATTTCAAGGAGGCCTTTTAATTAGGGATTATGGGATTATATGGGGTCATTCTGATGAAGCTATTGGGGTCTTACATTGTTTCAGCTTTTTGGTATGGTATCACAATATTCCAGTAACCAAGCATGGAGAAATGACAAGTCAGTTAGCCCCAGCATTCCGAAAAATAGATGAATAGATAGATAAATATAGATAAATATAGATAAATAGATAAATAAATGAATAAATTCTATGTATGCACCGTAGCAGTCGTACGACCCCTACAAGCTGCTTCAAACGAAGGCTGTCTTACCTGACAACCCTCACATGAGCAACTATCGCATTCGTGATAAGTTTTGTTGTTGTCGTTGGCGCTATGATCATGGTGGCCTTCCGGAAGTCCAATTACAACTGACCATACTGGTACTTACAACTAGTTTTATGATGCTTTATGTCGAGAGGCCTTGCTGTTCGCGTTAGTACTCTGAAAGTTAGGCTCTGCCCGCCGTCCACTGATAGTGACCCCAAGGGAAATGGTATATTGAGGTCCGTGTCATACACGTATATGCCTTTGAAACACCGTTCGTGGGGCGGGGTGTCCACCTATTGGCAGAAGCCTCAGGCCGCACTCGTGGCCGCTATGCTAGCCACTTTGGGATGCACGCTGGTGGCACGGGGACGCATGGGCCGATCCACCGAGGCTTCTGAGCAGGTCCAGATGGGAACTTAAAAGCGAATAGGCATATCTGAGACAAGCAATTCTTGTGGTGGTGGTGGTGGTGGTGGTGGTGGTGGTAGTAGCAGTAGTAGCAGTAGCCGCAGCCACAGTTGCAGCAGCAGGAGGAGTAGTAGTTGTGGCGTTGTTTTCATGTGGCAGGCAAAAAGCAATTGAGTTACAGCTGGATTGCCCATATTGGCATCTTGAAAGGTACCCTTGTAAGATCACCTTGCTCTGCAGCCCAAGTTGAGCTACGTGTTGAAAGTCAGTGAAGATCCTGGTACTTCTTCAAAGTACCCAATATCTCCAGAACCCCCATGTCATTCCATATAATTCTGGGGCCCTAGCATCCCTATCGGCCATATCATTTTTGGAACCTCCATGGGACCTAAACCCTAAATAGTCCCAATATAACCCCGAAATATCCATATTTAATCCCGATATTCAATATTATAGTTGTTTCCACTTTATTTTCCATTATCCCAACATGTCCCCTACATTATCCCTATACAACCCTTATAATCAATATAGTTTCTATTTTCTTGTCCATTTTCCCTACATACCCCCACCCTAAACCCTAAACCCCCCTTTTCCCTTATCGGATCCTGCGTAGGTCAAGCTTGGCGTGGGGATCGCTCTCCTGGGCGCTCTGAGCGCCAGCCTCCTGGATGCAATTGCCAGGTAAGATGAGCTATAGTCTCAACTCCTTAAGGGGGGATTATAGGGGGGTATGGTAACCCCCTTTATTTAGGGTTTAGGGTATAGGATTTAGGATTTAGGGTTTAGGGTCTAAACTTATAGGGGATTATAGAAACCACCTTTTTTAGGGTTTAGGGTTTAGGGTTTAGGAGTTAGAGTTTAGGGTTAAACTCCTTAAAGGGGGGGGTTATATGTGGGATCATATAGGGGAATACTACAGGTGGTTATCAAAGGGGATACTAGGAGTTTGGGACTACAGCTAAGATGCTAGTCTTACAAGCTATCATGCATGCACGGGATTCTTGGAGGGTCTATCGTGAGTGAGAACAGGGTTTCTACAGAGTCTATCGTCTTGGAGTTGCTAAGTACTACTGTAGTTCGTGGTGTACTGATGTCTTTGCTCAGTCCCTCTCCGAGTTCCATGAAAACGCAAAAGGAGTAACGGGCACTGAGCAGTCTTCTCCTGACATGTTTCTTTTACCAAGGCTTAACCTATCTGCTGGTTCGGAGGCTCATGCGGCCCACGACCGAGAAAGCTTTGGATGCAGAGGTGGTCGTTTGGAGCTACTCTGCGACGGCCCTGTGCGTTCTGGTTGTGGCGTTACCTTTCACGGAGGCTGCCTGGCCTGCAGCTTTCCTGCAGTTCTGCGGAAACAGCAAGTGTGCGTCCCAGAGTCATTCTAATCGAGTGTATGCAAGTGGAACGAGAATCAAGAATTGCTTCCAGCATGGAACTGACCTTTGCGGGCAGGGCGGCTTCGTGTTCCACGGCGTTCCGGTGTGGACTTGGCTGGCGCTTCTGGCCGTGGGCCTCACCAGCGTTGTGGAGCAGCTGCTCGTCACCCTGGGTTTCAGAGGCGTCTTGTCAGGGCCAGGTGGCAGAGTTCTGTGCATGTACAGAGGGTCTACATCTACATAACGCCTTCTTCCTGGTGGACTTGCAATCGGCGAAGCCGACATATGTCACAACCCTTTCATGAACCCTACACTGCAGAGACCAGCCATTGGTTCGGAACATGCGGATCAGAAAGTCAGAAAGCACTGCAGACAACCTTGTTGTGCAGGTTTACAGGTTTGCAGCTTCTTCCCGCAATCCCTGAGCCCTTTTATCTCCTTGCTGTGTACTATCTCAGAAGCCATACTGCCCTGCTGGTACAACACTCTTTGTGACACTTCCGCTGCATGACGCAGATGTTTCCAGTTCTGAGTTCTGGTTTTGGAGGCCTTCCTGCTGCGGCCGGAACGCTGATGCTCACGCTGGAGGTACGAGCGCAAACATGACATGCTCGTAAGAGCTATACTGTGTGCTCAGACCAGCGACAAAGGTATCATTTCAAGGCAAGTTGGCTGAGCATCATGGTGAGTAGTCCTAGCGGACCGGAGGGTTGGTGTAACGGACATCAGAGGAAGGGCAGCAGCAATTCTGAATTCCCTTCTACAAGCCCTTGTAGCAATTAGATTGGGAGTGTAAACATCTCGGCGATGTAGTTATCCTGAGGGATGCTAGACCACTACCTTCGTTCCTGTATCATCATCCACCCTAGTCCTTGTACTAATACCTAGGACCTATAAACAATTCCACCCAAACACGAGCTACTCTATCAGGCAGGCTTTGCCTTCCTCTTCAGCGTGGCGGTGCTTCAGGAGGCGTTGCGCCTGCAAACGGTGGCCGGTGTCCGGCCCTTGGATAGCTGTCTTAGTTCCCTGAATGAGCTCCGAAAATCCGACTTCAAGTCTCATTGTGGGGACCCGCGCCCGCTTGAGGGGTTAAGTGAACTCAGGGAGGCTAAAAGGAGTTCAGGGCTGAGGCTAAACCCTTAATCTTAAACTCTGCGGGAGAGGTTCTGGCTGTAAAAAATCTTGCGTTGGTTTGTGGCTCATGGTTTGGTCCATGGGTGTAATGGTGGGGCTGTCGGCTGTACTGATCAGAGCCCGAGTGCAGGGGCTTACCATCTTTGGGGCAGGAGGGTATATGCGACGCAGAACTCTACTGTAGTAGTGCATGTCTGTTTCCCAGTACTCAATCAGGCCGGCTGAAGTTTCATTCTCCCAGCTGTGTCGCAAGACACGGGCATCCCTCTTCATCCCCCTTCCCCTCCTGCTGAGATCCTTAGCTTATCTTGAAAGTAGAACCCATTATACCCCATTATAACCCACTATAACCCATTATAACCAATTATAATCCATTATACCCCATTGTAACCCATTCTAACCCATTAAAATCCATTAAACCCTAACCCCTATAAACCCTAAACCCATTATAACCCATTATGCATTGGTCATTGCTGAGGCAGCCTTGGTAGCAGTGGTTCCCCAGCTGCAGATGATGGGCTTCCAGACGGTTTCCTGAACCACCTCCACTGAGTTTAGGGTTGAAAGGGTTTAGGGTTTAGGGTCTAGGGTTTAGGGTTTAGTGTTAAAAGTCTTTGTGGGTCCCCGGTAGGGTCCCTTAAAAAGAGCTGGGTTCCAGAATGTGAGAACTACACCACGGGGGGTCTGATGCGACAAAGTGAAATCTAGGGCTCAAGCCTCTTTGTTTCATTTTCCAAGATTTCATTTTCGGGTCCCTGTGGCTGTCTGCAGGATCCTATTTCGTGTAAGCTTCTGTCTCCGGTGGAAAGGTGAACCCAAGAAATTCCATTATAACCCATTATACCCCATTGGAACCCATTATAGCCCATTGTAACCCATTGTAAGTGTCAGTAGATGACCAACTTGAGGGTTAGGCCTACAAGATTTTATTTCGATCGCTGGGCAGCCCCCCACTCTGATAGTGGGAGGCAGTTTCGATGACAGAGACGGCAAAGTCTGAGCCTCCCACTGTGATAGTGGGAGACAAGGCGATCAGTAACAGGATGATTTCTAGAATTTCAACCTTCTTGTTTTGAGACGCTGATCCCACCAAGATTGTCGTGGCTGTTTCATATATCCTGCCTGTACTGTTCCTACCAGGCTTTCATTCTCGTGTTTTGCCTTCTTGCGATGAGGCAGTGGTTGTCACTTTGCGGCGCCCCGCAGCACCTCCAAAGAAGCTTGGCTGGAATCATGGGGGATGGTCCAAGAAGGGCCAATGCTAAGTTCGCTTTTTTCCATTTTCATAGATCAGGGGTACAAAGGAATGCCAAAAAACAGTATTTTAGTCTCCCCAACCTGAAACTTTGTGGACGTCCCACAAGGGGATGGCTTCAGACCCTTCGAAAACTCTAGAACCACAGGTGTGCAACTTATGTGAGGACAACAGATCCGCAACCCAAAGCCGCACTAGGAAAGTAACCAGTCCTTAAACTACGCGTGGGGCGTGTCCGATGGCTACACGTGTGTTTTCAAGTGCAAGTTGGCCAATGAGTCCTGGAGGTTCAACTTCAAAGTAAGCCTTGCGCATAATTAATTGCGTAATGACGGCCTTGTGTTTGTGGGCTTGTTTGCAATTCTGCGGGCGTGAGAGCCCTCCTTGTGGTCTCTTAGGTCGGAGTGAAGAGCAGGTCTTGCAATCATTTCCATGCAGTTGCCGATGTTTCTTACCCTTGAGCGCCGGTTGTGAGTGAAATCTATGCGAGTCGAACATAAATCAGTAGCTCCTAGGAAGAGAGCTTTTGCGTTGAGTCTGGCCTACCCCTTTAATCTAGTGTCCTGTGTTCTGCAACGCTGGCAGACCTTGGGCGTTTTGTGGTATAAGGTCTCCAGCTGGAGCAGCAGTACGTGGGGCGGAGAAAAGCCTCGAGCAGGTTAGTTTTCAGGCTGTGTGCAGCTTTGACGTGGAGGGGGAGGCAGTGAATCAGCGGCACAAACGGGTTGCGCCCTGAGCCGAACAAGCTTCATGGAGACTGCTACCACTGATGGAGACAGAGGTCGCCCAGCAGTGATGTGCTGAACATGTCCAAGGTGGAGGTGCTGAATATGTCCAAGGTGGAGGCAAAAGTCATATGCAACAAGTCCATCCGCGATTGTAACAGCTGTCCGGCCGCCGGCCAGCTTGCATTTATCGGAGCTGTCAGGCAGCAAATGGAAGACCATGACGCTGGAATGAGAAGCCTATTCAGGGAAGAGCTGCCAATGCAAAGGTTGCCACCAAAGCTTTCCTTCACATGCTTTGCTCTCCCAGCTGCCACACAGAAAGTCTCAATGCTCGATGCTGCTTCGACGAGCAACCGTGCAGTCTCGGCAGGTAGTTTGTCACTGAGAGTCTGATGCTGGTATACCGGTGAGCCGGTGAGAAGTTTAGCCGCCTGCTACTCACAAAAGAGGCTGCAGGTGTGGTGTGCGTTGGTTCTCTGCAGCCAAGCCTCTGATGGGATGTTTAGCTGATTGCTTGTGCTATGAAAGTAGGCGCACCTACGGGCATAGTGAGGTACACCTCGTATGCACCATGTCTGACAGTGCAAGCATGATGGAGTCCCTCCAAGGTCGAGACTACCCCTCGTCGCCCTGGGTGACTTGGCCGAGTCATACATCGCAGAGGTTTTATTTCATGCATGCAGGCGTGCATACGAACAGTCGTGAGTTGTATTCGAACAGTGATTGTCTGCAGATAGGATTGCTTCGAAGGTGACGCCAGTGCAGCTCTTTGATGGGCCCAAGCGCAAGGCCTGGGCATCAGCGTTTCAAGAGACGCTGCTCACACCTGTTTATGGGAGTTCTGATTTATCGGAGGTTGCACACGGATGCAAAGGCTCAGTATCTTTACCTTTTCATGGGCCTAGACTTCCCTGACATCCTGGGAAGGAGAAGCATTCAAAGCAACTAAAAGGTGCTCGGAAGCCAGGCTGGCGACTCTGAACAAGAGCTCTTGCTGCCGCCGTTCGTCGCTTATGAGTTTGAGGAGAAGCTTAGCCAATGGGGCTTGAAATTAGATCCACCAACCGCTGCCTGTGTGGCATAGGCTACTGGAAGCGAATGAATCATCGACCGTCACGTTGCCCACAACCAAAGCCAGGGTGAAGGTGATGTAAGGCAATTGCAACTTGCACTTGCTTGCATGTCATGTCCGCTTGTCACCATCTGCAGGAGGAATTTTCCATCGACCCTGACATGGAGCTACCCGAGAAGCCCGGACCTAAATCCATTTTCACTGCAGCTTTCACATGTGTCGGCAGGATGATGTCAAAAAAGGTTTCTTTCAAACCCCAATCTTGATTGTTGCGAGAAGCTTATACGTCAGTCGCGACGACTACTCCATTTCTCCTGCTTTAGTTGTCGTCTTGTTTTTGACATTTGTATTCAAGGGACGATGCCGACTGCTACTCCTGCCGCCGCCGCCGCCGCCGC